CTCTGGGGGAGAGGCTGAATCCTGCCTTCCCCAGTGCTGGAGGTGCCTGCATTCCTTGGTTCAGGGCCCCTTCCTCCATCCTCAAAGCTAGCAGCATTTTCAGTTCCTCTCTGACTCTGACCTCTGCTTCCCAAGTCACCTCTGCCTTCCGCCGACCCTGCCCAGCAGAAGTGGTGCTTTCATAAAATCACAGCTACAGGGACAGGGGCCAAAGAAACACCAGCAAGGGGCCCTGGTAGGCAGCCAGCATGACCAGGATCTCACAGCCAGAAACTGCCTTCACGTGGGTGTCTTTGCCATGGCAGCATTTGTCCCACGCAGGCCAAGCAAAAAGAAAAAGGCCCTGGGAACAAGACACATCCTCCCTGGATGCCCAGACACAACTGCCTTGACACCTCCCCACCCCCGACCCACCGCCAGCCCCAAACCACTGCCTGACCCCAAATCAAGCCCTGGAGGTCAGTGGAGAGAGGCCTGTCCCTAAACCACTGCCTGGAGATCCTGGCCTGGCTGAAAGCACGCAGCCGTCTGAGGCGGCATCCTGGTGTTTGGGGGTTCGCAGTAAAGCACACAGCTGTGGCCAGGGTCAGCTCTGCTGAGAGCAAGGCTGCTGGATCCCGGAACGGCCGCCTCGTTAGACCCAGAGTGTGGGGAATAACCGTGGATTTAGCAGCCGCAGCGAGTGCCTCTGGCTACAGAAGCCCTCAGCTTGCCCGACTCCTGCAGCGGGAACGTGGAGTTTTTCTCCCTTTGAACAATCGATGCTGGGGCCGGTCCCGTTCGCCGCTTCCCTCCGGAGCCGCCAACGCGGCATTTCTGCTCAAGTCGCTCGGAGTCAACATGACAACCTTCCAGGGAGCAAAAAAGGCTGTCGCTACTCTTGATTACTTCAAAAAGGGTTTTTCAATTGTGCTATTGGCTTAAAAATTGCATTTTACATTACTGGGGTGAAAGGCTCCCATGTTGCCATGTTATCCACTGAAAAATACTGTCAAAAATCGATGCTTAAAACCCACTAAATCTCTTGGCTGGGGTTCACAGAAAAGCACATTTCAAGATGGTTAGAAACTGTTCTTATTGCAAGACAATGATGATGGCACACTTTTCAACAACCTATTGCTACTTTCCTGCCCAATTTTACCACGGACATCAGCAATCGCCACACCAGCGTCCCTGGAGCACCCACCGCGGGCTGGGGGCCCAAGGGGAACAGGATACGCCTGGCCCCTGCCCATCAGACCACCAGGCTTCCATCGCAGCCTCCTGGGAGATGGGCTTGGAGCAGTCATGGGAGGGCGGGACACTGCTGAGGAAGGGGATGGCCCTGGTGTTGTGGCAGCATCCTGGGCCTGCATCCCAGTGGGATGAGGACCTGTGTGCCTAGACGATGGATTGAGAAGTGTGCAGAGAAGGCAGTGGGGGCTGGTGCAGTGCTGGGGTGGGAAATAAGCCTCTTTAACTGGGTTAACCCCCCAGAGAACAGAAGACACGGAGTCTGGCGGCTGATCTTCCAGACACCCCATCACTGCTTCTCAATTTCACTTTCCACACTCCAGCCATCTCTTAGCTAGATTTTTGTTGACTGAACATATTTGCTCCATAACTATCGATGGTCCCCAACCCCCACCATCTTGATTTCTTTGTTTGCTTTCTGGATGTGTAAAATCAAATTCCTGCACTCGCTTCAGATTCTGGCTTCTAGAAAAGCAGGTAGCTGAAGCAGTGGGCATGCCGCGTCACCGAGGCTGCAGCTGACCCGCGCTTCAGGGGCGCTGGGAAGCACGGCAGCCCGCCAGTGACTGCATGGCACACAATCTGCCTTGTCAAGGACTTTCATGAACATCACAACCATCACTAGAATCAGCCAAGCGTCCAGAGCCCCTAAAGACAAGAGCCCAAAATGGCCTCAAGGGGCTGGCACAGAGGACGCCTCCCGAAAGGCCACCATCCGGCCTGCTTCGAACGCACACAGCACGGAAAACACCAAAGTCAGCGGGCACAGTGGCTCACGCCTGCAATCCCAGCACTTTGGGCGGATCACAAGGTCAGGAGTTCAAGACCAGCCCGGCCAACAGGTAAAACCCCATCTCTACTAAAAATACGAAAATTAGCTGGGTGTGGTGGCACATGCCTGCAATCCCAGCTACTTGGGAGGTTGAGGCAGGAGAATCGCTGGCAGTGAGCTCAGTTCACACCACTGCACTCCAGCCTGGTGACAGAGAGCAAGACTTTCATCCTGATAACCTGGGAGGACCCCAGAAGGAGGCGTGGAGGACCAAGCCTGGTGGACAGAGAGTGTCTAAAGTGACTCTCACAGCAAGCCTCAAGGTCCTGGCGATCCTCACACCCTATTTACAGAGGAAACTGAGGCTCAGAGAGGTGGGAACAGCTAGAGGGTAGCTGAGGCAGCTGCAGTGCGGGCCGGCCTGGGGACCTGCAGATGATGGGACAGCAAGGGGACAAAGCCAGGGCTGTCAGCCCTCACTGCTTCCCAGGGGCCAGAGCCATCGGGGGATCCAAGCAAATGGAGGAAGGGCCACGCAGAGCCACGTCTGTGGCCCTGGGACAGGCTCCAAGAGCACCAGTGGCCATGGCGGAGGTGCCCTGAGCCCCGGGAGTCCAGAGTTGCCATGTCCTTGAGGGACAAGTGCCCCTTTCTGTCCTTCATCCAAACCCTGGCAATGGCATTTCTGGAGTCACTCGTGGGCTGAACGTTTCATGGGGGAGCTCTGCCTCCTCACCTCCCTGTCTTGCATGGAAGGAGCGATAGGACTTCCGGAGCCAAGGACTCCAGGTATCATCAACATCTTTCGCCTCCGGGCAACCTGGTTCCCAGGCTTCACAGGGAACTGCCCCTGAGTCACCAATACCAAAACCACGACTGGGAGAATGTGTTCAGGTGCCCTGTGAAATTTCACAGATGTGGGTGAGATTCTGGCAGGAGCTTGATGACATTCCAGGGGGTGGCTGTGGCAGAATTCCACAGAGGGTCCTGTGAACTCCTGGGGCCTGTGAGGTGCAATCCGCAGCCCTTTGCCCACCTGCAGCAATGATGGGTCTGGCTGGGCACAGGAGCAATGGAAGGAACTCAGCCCTGTACCCAGAGGTCCTGGAGGCTTTGGGGCTGAGCGGCTTCACAGGCTGTAAAGCGGGGATCAGACCTCTCTGGACGTGCCACGCTCACCCACGCATAGACATGAAAAGGGGGAGTGTTGCATAAAGGGTGGTTGGGAGGAGGTGGGGACGGAAGGGGCCAGGGTGGACGGCGGGAAGCCGGGTTCCAGCTCCAGTGGGGAGTCTCTGCGTCATGTGGCTGATCGTACCCGGGCTCTGCTGGTGAGACTGGCTGCACGAGCCTCAAATGCAGGCGGATTCTGCTTCTGCCTGCCCTTGAGCAAGTCCCTTGACCTCTCTGAGCCTCGGTGTCTCCATCTGTAGAGGAGGAAGAACAGCAGCCCCCCTCGGATGGCAGGAGGAAGGGGAAGATGACCTGAAGGGTGGTGATGGCAACATGAACGACCTCAACAGAGGAAGACACTGCTGTTCTCCCCACCACAGACGAGGACCCCAAGACTCAGAGGGACTGAGGCACTTGTCCGAGGGGGGCACAGCTGAAGGCAGCGTGGAGCTGAAACCACCCCCAGCGCCATCTGACTCCAGTTGCAGCCTCCGGGCCCACTCTGGCATGAGTCTTGACGTAGGCCTTAGACACGGGACCCACTGCTATCCCACGGAGCTCTCTGCAATGACAGAAACACTCTGGGTCTCTGCCATCTGAGAAGATGGCCATGAGCCACATGTGGCCTTTGTGCCCTTGAAATGTCAGGGCAGCCAAGAAGCCCAATGTCTGATTGTATTGACTTTTGATTAATTTAGATTCAAGGAGCGACACGTGCTGAGCAGCCTGACTCTCAGTGTCACTGCAGGTTAATTGGGTGTCCCCCCAACACTCGAAAGCCACCATCCCCACCCAGATCACTCAAGGGAGGCTTTCTGAAGAACCACCTTGCTGGCAGCTGCACCCAGTGGCAGTGGGGGGCTCTGAGGGGCCGTGTGGCCCATGGATCCATGCTAAGGCCTGCAGGCAGGGCATGTGCCCCTCAGCCACAGAGTGCAGGAGGAGCTGTCACTGCAACAGACTGCGCTTGCCTCAGGAGGCTGCTGGGCCCAGCCAGACAGGGTCAGCATTTGCAGAGCAGGGTCACAGGTGAGGCAGGGCCTGTGTACCTGGAGGTCCCAGGGGCCCTCGAGTGTCACAGGCTGGGTCCACGCCTAACTCTGCCTCTACCTGACCAGGTGTCCCTGGGCAGGTCCCCTTTGTCCATCTCCAAAAGAGATTGTGGGGCACCTTCCCCTCCTCCGTGGGGCTGAGAGGACTGACCTGGATTCCTTGCTAGGAGGGAGGGCTGACTCCCAGACCACCTAGGGCCCTGGAGAGCAGCCTATGGCCTCCCGTTCCTCCCTCTGCCAGGTGGCTGACCACTCCAGAAAGCACCGTACCCCCCAGTCATAACTTCCTAAGCCCCCAGAAGCGAAGGTGGCAGCAGGCAGGCGGAGGCAGGGCCACCCCACCACGTGGCCCTGTTCTCCTAAACAGCACTCTGGTACCCAGAGACTTCCAAGATTAAGCTGAAAACTCCAGCCTGAGCTGCTGGAGGAGAGGGGGTTGCTGTGGCAACCACATCTGGCCTATTTGTTTGAGTTTTGGAGGTGAGGGACGGAGAACAGAAATACAGCAAAACCCCAAGCGCGATGCCTCCTTCAATTTCACCACCAGCCCATGTGTGGGCTTGAGGGGACAGATGCCAGTGCTTTAAAACTCTCCAAGACAATCCACTCAGGGTTTGTTCATGGCTCTTTAATATCCAGCCACCCAGCCTGGTTCTGACTGTTCTGTTGCCAAGAGGTGACATCAGACACTTGGCAGTGTGACAAGCCAGGGGCCAGGCCAGGCACAAACTGCAGTGTCCAGAGCTTCCCGAGAGCTCTCAGGCAGGGGCAGGGGAAGCTTTTAGCACCGAGGCTGGGGCTGGAGGGGAGGAGGAGTCGCTGGCACAGATGCCCTGCCCTTCCCAGGGAGCTCCTCCGAGGGGCTTGCAATGAGTGTGTGTCCTAGTGCCGAGCACACAGAGCCCCACAAGAGGACCCAGCGTCTAAGAGCTGGTGTATTTCGAGTTCGCATGCAAACACATGGAGCATTTATTCACAAACATTCAGAGTTGCCCTGCACACTAGGCTCTGTGCCAGGTGCCAAGGGCCGGGACTCATGTGATCTCATGGAATTGCCATTGGTGGGGACAGAGAAGCCAAGCAGCCCCATGGTGCAGGGCCCAGAGTAGGCGAGCTGCAGGCTGCATGAGCACAGATGAGGAACAGCTCATCTCCTCTCAGGAAAGGAGGGAAAAAATCAGGGAGGCTTCCTGGAGGAGGTGGCATCCAAGCTGAACTCTGAGGAATGCCTCAGCTTCATGAAGGAACAGCACAAGCCTCCCGCAGCAAGGGCCTAACCAACATTCAGGCCAGTCAATCACGGATGCAGGGCCTCTCCTGGAGGCCTCTTTGGCCGAAGGGGGTTGGGGTTAAGCCCAGGCACAGCCGGAGCTCCCTGGAGGACTTACTGAGACCATCAGAAGGCAGCGCTCCTCTGTCTACCTTTCTCCCATATAAATTGTGCACCACCGCCTGCTGGAACCCAAAGAAGAAAAACAGGATTACACTGATGTCCCATAATCGCCATGGAAGAAAGACAGAAATTATCACCTTTGATCTCACAACTGAGAGGACTGGAGGCCAAACAGTCGTCCAAGCATATGAGATCTCAAGTTTCCAGTTGCCACCTCGTCTGGAGCACCCTACCTGGATAGGAGCCAGTGATGGATATTTGATTGTCTTTCCCAGTGGGCCAGACTTGCTCCTATTCAGCATCACTGGCTTCCTGCTGCAACAATTTCAGGACCACCAGACAGCCATCAGCAACTTCTGGGTGGATCCTCTCTATGTGCTCACCACGTCTGCTGACTCTGTGCACCTCTACATGTGGGAAGAGGGAGGCTGCCCTCCATACCTCAGGAGCTGCTGTCACTTGGACAATACATGGCGTGATCACATATCACATCGGTTTATCTCCTGTGTGATGTGTGACAATGCAAGCATAGTACTTAAGGCGACAAATATAAGTGAATCCAGCATTCTGGTGATGTATTCTCTGAATATGTAATATGGAAACTAACAAAATTGACTTTGCATCATCTCCTGTAATATAGTAAAGAGAATTCTGTTTGCAAAAAAAAAAAAGGAGGACTCAGCCCATCCTCCATGTCTGAACCATTCTGACTGCCAGGTGGGTCTGCAGTCGGGCTGGGGCTGGAGCTGAGGCCACTTGGACACTGCGGCTGAGATGCAGAGAGACAGAAAGCCAGGAGCTCGGGCAGTCTCGGTGGGAGGGGCAGGCCTGTGGGGTGCTCTGGCCTTGGCCCATGAAAGCCAGTGAACTGGAGGATGAGGTCTGTGGGGCAGCGGTAGAGCCATGGGTCTGCTCCTGGGGAGGACAGGGTCAGAGGCTGGCATAGGGACCAGAGAAAAGAGACCTCCAGCTGGGCTTTTGAGTGCAGTGCCAGAGGGGAGCCAGGACTCTGATTTCCGGCTCAGGCTGGGTGGGTGGGGAGCACGTGGGCAGGTGGGTGCCCTGAGGATAAGAGCCCTGGGCAGTGCTGGGAAAAAATCAGAGTGACCTGCAGGATGCTTCCTGCCATACGCCGTGTTAGCAGCCAATGGAGACTGTGTTCATTGCACCTATTTTGCAGCCTAATTTTGTAAACCATGTATTCATCATAGGACATCATGGGACATATCGGAAAGCCCAAAGGGAAGGGACATGCCCACAATCCCACTGGTGCTCCCCAAGAGACCTCAGGCAGGGAAGGGCGGGGGCTTTTAGCCCCGAGGCTGGGGCCGGAGGGAAGAGAGTGACAGGTAACATTCTCGAGCGCACGGTTGTTCTACCTTTTCCCGTGCACAGATGTACTTTCTCATCAGCCTGGAACCGTGTGTTCCAGCGTTTCAAAGCCTGTTTTTTAAATAAACATAGTCTATCGCCCAGGCACCTGTCTGGCATCTCGTAGGTTATCAGCAAACCTTTGATGAATAAATGAAGGAAGGAACACATGCTCCTGGTGAATGCTTTTCTGCAAAACCGTGTTGGCACTGCCGTCAGTGGCCACCTCTTGCCTCGTGCTGTGCGCGGGCCGTCTTCTTGGTCCCTCCTCTGCCGTGGGGTGTTCGTGCCGTTTCTGGGCTTTTCATGCTTTCAGACACTGCTCAGTGGACGCCCCAGTGGCTATGCCTTTTTCCACGTCTCAGAGGGTTGGTCAGAGGACAGTTACTTTGTTAGTGCCCCTGACACATGTATGACATCACTCTCAGACAAGCCTGCGCCAGATTCATCCCAGGGTGGGACGCTCGGGCCGGAGCCCATGCTCTCACAGCACTCAGCTCGGTAGCTGTGTCTAAACTGCTTTGCTGCAGGAAAGTGATTCTTTATAGCTTAAGTCTGTGCTTCTCAACCCCTCTGTGGCAAAGACTGGTTGTTGGAGGTTTTCTAATCTCCCTCAGACCATTACTAGCAAAATAAAGTAGAAAAAAATACTAGTTTTTAAGGCCAGGTACGGTGGCTCACACCTGTAATCTCAGCACTTTGGGAGGCCGAGATGGGCGGTTCAGGTGTTCGAGACCAGCCTGGCCAATATGGTGAAACCCTGTCTCTACTAAAATTACAAAAATTAGCCAGGCGTGGTGGCACCCACCTGTAGTCCCAGCTACTTGGGAGACTGAGGCAGAAGAATCGCTTGAACCCAGGAGGTGGAGGTTGCAGCGAGCCAAGATCACACCACTGTGCTCCAGCCTGGATGACAGAGTGAGACTCTGTCTCAAAAAAATAAAAACAGTTTAAAAAAAAAAATCACACACACAGAGAGAGAGAGAGATTTTAAGCCCTCATGTTTTAGTATGAGATTCAACAGACACAATTATCCTGCCAAATTGCTATAGGGCTTCTCGATTTTTGGACATTTTTATCATAAACTCTTACTAGCTCATTCTTGGACCCTCTGGCCCGAGGTTGCAGGTTGGGTGGGATGGTTGAAATAACTCACCCACTGGCCACTGTTACCAATGACACAGACGACGTTTGCATCCGCAGTGATTTACCTTGCATTTCCAATCCCGCAGGGCAGCAGGAAGGAGCACATTCTTCTCATTGGAAGAAGATAGAATCAAGGCCCAGGATGCCAGGGCTGCAGCTGGGACCCTGTGTGAGCCCAAAGGCCACAGATGTGACGGATCCCAGTCCCCGCTTCCTGGCAGGTGTCCAGGGCTCTGTACTGCTTCCCAATGTTGAGGGACCGTGCCACCCTGAGGAATGAAGGCAGTATCCAAGTTAATGAGGCTTGGTGGTAAAAGCCCATCCCCTATCAGGAGGCCTCCATCTTTGCCCTCGGGTGGTGGGGGCTGGGGGGCTCAATTGGGCCAGAACCAGTCTGTAAAGTGCTCTGGCTGGGGCTTGGACAGAGAACCCTTCCTCCCTGGGGACGCCCTCTAGGCAGGGCTGAAGGCACAGCCCAGGGGGCTCCTCCTGACCCCAGGGTGCCCCTTTCTGGACCCAGCTGCCTCCCCTGATGGCCATGGGTGCTAGGAGAGAATGCCAGCACCAGGGAAGCCCTGGCCTGCAGTCACCCCTTTTTGAGATGAAAGCAAGGCAAGGTGCCTGGGCTGGGGCTCGGAGGCAGGTGGCACGGGACCCTCAGGTGGTTGTGATTTCACCCCCGGGTCCCCAAGCACACAGATGCACACCCATCCCCCATGCACACATGCGTGTGCACATGTGGCATGCGCACAGCCTGTGACTGCCCTGTTGGCAGCTCCCACCCCAGGCGATGACCACGCCAAGCACCCTCCACATTGTCCCAACTCCATTCCCCACAAGAACTGTGGTTCCATCCTGCCCATTTTACAGACAGAGAAACAGAGGCTCGCAAAGCTAGCCGGTCAGCCTTCGTGGGACATTCCCATGGAGCCTGGGCCTTCAGCCGCACATGCACCTCACACCTCTCCAGGCAGGGCTCCTCCTCCAAAAACAAAGCCCCCATCCTCCCCCAGGCCTCCCTCCTTGTCTGATTTCTTCCTCCCTTCCAGAATCATCTTTGCTTCAGCTGATGTCACTAGAATCAGTACACTTGGCAGTTGGGCGGAGCCAGGGAGGTAGAGGCCAGCCAGGAGGGTGCCCTCCAGAGCTCTAGCCCCCCAGAGCAGCTCCAGCCTGAGGGGCCCAAGGATGACCTGGGGAAGCACCACCTCCAGGCACCTGTCTCCTCATTCCTGAGTGCAAGGGGAACCGTGCACTCACAGAGGTGCCTCGAGGCTCTGCCCCCGTGTGATGCCAGGACCCCAGAGGGCACCTGCAAGGTGAGGGGACTTGCAGGGATGAACCTGGGAATGAGGTCAGTAGACCCCCCACCACCAAATGGTCAGTTACACAAGGGGCTTTCCATTACCAGTAGTCCTGGTATGGAGTTCTGTGGAGAACTCAGGCAGCTTCTCTCTCTCTCTCCCCCCTCCCACTGTATCTCTCTCTGTCTCTCTATCTCTCATTCTATCTCTCTGTCTCTGCTTCTGCCTCTGTCTCTCTATCTCTCTGTATCTCTCTCTGCCTCTGTCTCTATCTCTGTCTGTCTCTGTTGGTCTCTCTCTCTCTGTGTCTGTCTCTCTGCTTTCCAGCCTGTTTGTGACATCATCCAGCAAGCAGCCTGGGTGGGAGCCCCCCCTTTTCTCCAGAATCAATCCGCAGGGCTCTAACTGGAAGGCTTGGCCCAGGTCACCATCATCCCCCCAGTCTGCAGAGGGAAACCAAGGCTCGGGCCTCCCCGGAGCCACCCTGAGGAGTATCACAGACAACTCCTTCCTGACCCAGGGCTCATGCAGGCAGGGGGACTGTGGCAGGCAGGCCGGGGGAGCTCTGGTACCAGGCATTGCTTTTGTTTTCTGAGCAGCTGCTGCAGGCCCGGCCTCTGCACATCCTGCGTCTCATTTGACTTCAGAAACTCCTGGGAGCCACAGACTAGGAGGAAGTCCCCAAGCATGGATCCCACCTGAGACCATATCCCGCCACGGATGGAACCCTGCAGCTGCCTCGCATAAGACAAAGAACCCGACGAGAAGTGAGCAGAGGACTCCAGCAGACACTGCACAGAGGTCTAAGCCTGGTGCACGCACACACAGGGAAACACACGGCCTCCTTGGGGACCAGCAGTGCACCTGAAGCCACGTGGGCTCCCCAGACGCCTGCCAGCACGGCCGAAGTGCAGGGCCTGGCCACACCCAGTGTGTGTGGGAAGCAGCCTGAACGTTCTCTTGGAAAACAGAAGGACCCCTTTGGAAAGTGGGCGGTGGCTTCTTACCAAGTTGAACACCGTTCCCATGGGACCAGGAAACTCCACACCGAGGCACTTACCCGGGAGGAATGCACGCAGGTCCACTGCAGGTGTGTTGATCGCAGCCAAACCCCGGGCGGTGCAGGAGGGAGTCTCTGACAGGAGGATGGCTCCGCATGCTGTGGGCTGTGCTAGAGGACAGGGAGGAGGTCTGGAGCCCAGCAGCAGTCAGGGGTGGAGCAGGGAGGGAGGCCCCAGGGGTAGAACCCAGCTGTCAGTGAACTCTTGCCTTCCACAGCCAATCAGCAACCCTAATGAAGAGTGGCGGTCCAGCTCAGCTGTCCCCCTCAGTGGCAGGATTTCAAACCCCCCTCAGCTACCCGGCAAACCACAGGAGGGACCTGGCAAGCTGAGACTGGCTTCCAAGGCAGGACGGTGCCTGGAGCAGCCAGGGGACCGACACCTGTCCTCCAGTCCTGAGCTGTCTTATTCAGGCCTATCAGACTGATTCCTACTTGCCGGGCACATCACAGGACTCAAGTCTGTCGGATCATGAGAAATGAGTGTCTTGAATGAGCGGGTGTCTGTATTTACTCTGTAGCTGCCCTCTGTGAGCGTCGGCCTTCTGGGCCCCGTTCTCTACCTGTAAAATGGGCAGTTTGAAGCAGGTGGTCTCTGCGGGTCCTCCCTTCTGGTCTGCTCTCCAGGAACCCCCAGACGTCAGCCACGCTCCCCTTCATGGACAGGTCCGCGGGCTCCTGGCCCCGCCAGCACAGACAGGTCCCGCTGCTGCGGAGGCAGAGGCACGCCTTCTGAACTGTCCACCGCTCGGATTAGGCTAATCTAATGCACTCCACCAGTGACCCGAAATGGCTTTGGAATGAAC